AGTTGCCGGAAAAGGAAATAAAGATTGCCGGTAAAGTGCCTTCAGGTATGGTCGTCGGAGTTCGATTTTTCGACAACGATTCGGTCTAAATGGCCAAAAGGTGGAATGAGGGTATTTGTGAGTCATTTTCCATAAGTTAGCGGTATTTTTGGCCATTTTTCGTTAGAAAATTTTGTGAAAGCATGTGTCACTTCATGTGACATCAGCAACTATGATTCCCTTTTAGGTATTGAAAGAAGGATCGTGTATCTCTGGGATTTACGAAAGTGTATATGTACATTTATTGTAATTAAGTGCAAAGAAGGGGCAAAATTAGATTTCCAAAAAGGACTGCAACTCTATCCATTACCGGGACACAATAAAAATTATAGAAAAAATAATATTATATAGTCGCTCTTAAAATAATAGCCAAAAAAATATATATTTTTTATATATTATTTATATATATATACAATTTATATGTTATATATAAAAATTATACAATTTTGATACACTTTTTTGGCTACCAAACGTAAATAGTCTCTAGCAGGGGCTAAAAGTGATAATAACAAATTATAGGAAATAGGAGTACTGGCTTTTCAGTCAACTGAGCAGCAAGTCTACGGGCAAAACAGTAATAAACTAAACTTTTATGAATTTGTTCGTAAATTTACATGAACCAGAAGCTCCTCATGGTTCTCTCTTATTAATAGTACTAGTAACCGATAGCCCGTATTGTGTGCGGCCCAATAAACATATGCTAAATATTAGGCTACAATTTTTGGGATCTTCATACACATAGACGATTATTGTTTTCTTTTTTTAGCAGATATACACAAAACATACACTAATGATATGTGATTGTTCATATATATATATATATATATAAATTGTACATATATATTATATATTTAACGGGCATTTTTAGCTTAAGCAGTTGGATGTACGGCTATTTAGCTTAAGAATCCTAAAGTTAATTTTAAACCACCTAAAATAATTGAAAAGAAAAAACAATATAATTTTGTTGTCCCAACTATTACCTGAAATTCAAATTTTAAAAGGAGTATGCTTTTATGATCATGTTGTGCTAATTAACATGAGCAAATTTTCCGCTTAACTTATGTTGAATGATACAAAGATCCTTTTTTATAACATAAGAAATTACATATTGTCTCTTCTATGTTTTCTCTGTGATTTTTTTGCTTCTAAAGTTCTTCTCTTTTTTTCCCGTCTATTTCTCTGTTTTTATAGATATTTTGCTTCTATTAAAGGAGCTCTTGCAACTATCTTCACTGTCAATTTCTTGTATATCTTTCTAAGGTAATTATTTTTCTTTACATTTTCTTTAATATGTCTTGAATATTAAAAAAAAATGGCTATATTTTAATTAAAAATTTAGGTTTAATATGTCTATTCAGTCTCTAATCGCTCCTCTTGCCCTTAATTTTGGGCCTCTAGTCTGTAAGTGTTTATCTCTTTGAACTTCTTCTTTCCTCAATTATATAAATTTCAATTTGTTTTCTTTGTGAATTTTGTACCACTTTTGTATTAATATCTTAAATGCATCGGTTCTTGTTGTTGTATCAACTTTTTTGACAAGAAAAATTAGGGTTTCGACTGAGTTTTTTGTTGCCTAGAGTCTCCATAGCATCGCAACGCCCATCACCAGAAAAGAAGCTTAACACAAATTAAATTTGGTGTCTTTATCTTCTGCAGTTCTAATTTGGCCATTAGTGTAGAGAATATCTTACATTTTGATTTTTTATTTAAAAGGAGCGGAATTATCGGTTGACAAAAATGAAGTTGATGGGGATATCTAAGGCTCTGAGTAATTCGACAACGCCGTCAATTTGATGGTAAAGTAAGTTACCGCTGAACTTCAAGAAGATTAAGTGAAATAAAGAGAGGTTATCAGTGGTGAGAGTTAAGCTATGATGGAGCAAACTCATGATTACGCGGGATTCTTGCTTTCTCTGTTTTTTTATTTTGTATTTTTATTAAGGAATTTAAGGTTTTAATGGAATCTTAATATAATTAATATAATTTATTTACAAACAATTCAGGTAAGTGAAAAATATAATAATCGTATATAATTAATTGTTGAGTCATTCCTCTGCCATAGTAATAATTAACACAATTAGGATCCTTTATTTTCCAATTTTCATAGTAACTGAAAAGCATATTAAAGTGTATAGTTGTTTCTTCATTTATCCATTTGTAATAGTAATGGATAGTACTTGTTTTTCTTTTTTACTTCAAGTTGAGTATGTTTTACTCTAACAAAAAGTATTTACCCAAAACAAAAATTACATTATATATATGATTTTAGAGATAGGTATGCTAAAGTTAGATCAATATAATGAAAATAAAAAAATTTAATTTAATTTATAGAATGAACTTATCTTGTTTACCCAAAACGAACTTGCTATTAATTTTTGTATAAGATTTTACAAATGAGTATACTAAAGGTGGATGAAATTTAATTTGCAATGAAGGATAAAGAAATGAAGTTTTTCTGTATAACTACTTTTTAAAGTTTACGTTGGAGAAGAAAATATTTCAAAGCACATGTCAGTAAAAGATACTCCTATAAGCTAGAGACACGTGTGAATTTATGAGAGCATGTGTCCTTTCATCAGACATCATCAATAGTAATGCCTTTTTGGACTTTGAAACAAGGTTGTCCTATTAGTTGGATTTACAAAAATGTTTTTAAAAAAAAAGAAGCAAAAGTGGGGGCAAAATGAAACTTACAAAATTGCTGCAATTCAATCTGCGAAAAAATTTCAAATATGCCGTTGTACTATACGAAATTGAGCATATTTGTCCTTCGTTAATACTTTAGCTCAAATTTACCCTTATCGTCACATAGTTGGTCCATATATGCCCTTAGAGTTACACAGTTGGCCCATATATGCCCTTTTCGAAACGGAATCCACCCAAACTAATTAGTTCTTTCGTTAATTGTATTAAAGTGTATTACAAAATACTATTTTCTTTTTATTAGTACTTTTTTTTCTTTACCTTTCTCTTTTCTATCTTCTTTTTTCTTTTCTTCTCTTTTTTTTCCTTTTTTCTTTCCCCCTTATCCGATTTCCTCCATTACTGATGTCTTCTCCATTTTCGTCACCAATTTCACTTGACAAAACTCATGAATTCCAATTATTAAAACAATTCTCCCATAAGAATATTTTTATAGATCATATGTTTGTCAATTTTTTAATTTTTACTGAACATATATTTAGTTCTAAAAAATTTAACAAAGTAAAATTGAAATAATATTTATGTAACAAAAAACCCGAAAAAACTAACAAAACCGAACAATCCAAACCGATATAATTGGTTTGGTTTGGTTTGGTTTTGATAAAAACCGAACCAACCCGTTCAATTTACACCCCTAATTTACATAGTTAATTAAAAAAAATAGAAAATGTCCAGCTGAAAAAAGATGAAAAAAGATTAACAACTCAAATTTATAAACTCTACAACTTGAACATTAGGCTTTTAATCATTAAATTATCTTTCTGGAAACAATTTAAATATTTTGGTCTTTTGAGTATTGTTAAAGGTTGAGATGTTTTTATTATTTTAAAGTTTAAACCATAATTTTTGGAACAATTTAATTTCGTTTATTTAGAGGGCCAGTGAAATTAGAACTTGATTACCTTATGGGAGAATTTTCTTAGTAATTGGAATTTATGAGTTTTGTCAAGTGAAATTGGTGACGAAAATGGAGAATGCATCATTAATGGAGGAAACGGATAAGGGAGAAAGAAAAAGAAAAAAAAAAGAGAAGAAAAGAAAAAAGAAGAAAGAAAAGAGAAAGGTAAAGAAACAAAAGTACTAATAAAAAGAAAATAGTGTTTGTAATACACTTTAATACAATTAACGAAAAAACTAATTAGTTTGGATGAATTCCGTTTCGAAAGGACATATATGGACTAATTGTGTACCTCTAAGGGTATATATGGACTAACTATGTGACGGTAAGGACATATTTAAGCTAAAATATTAACGAAGGGCAAATGTGCTCAATTTCATATAGTACAAGGGCATATTTGAACCTTTGCCCTTCAATCTATTACGTGTACTAGGATACAATGGGAATTAGAAGAAATAATGCTGATTTTTCAGCAAAAAGTCAAGTCTTTATTCCAACGGTGCAATAAAGCTCAGCAAGGAAAATCAGTAATTCCAACAATACCCCTACGCCAGGCGGGCATGTTGACCATCACGTGCCTGCTTATTCTCTCTTATATATTAGTAAAGATAAAGAAGTAAAGTAATAAATATAAATAAATAATGAGAGAAGCTTGTATAATTGTTTAACCAAAAAATAGTTTTTGTGGCAAATCAAATAAAAAAATAATTTGGGTTTCTAATAACCAATGTTACTTCACTTTTCCTAATATAATATAGATGATTGGCAAATAATAAAATTACAATATTGAGAAAATAAGGAAAATGAAATTTATTGATTATCGCAGCTTTCTTCCAAAAGGAGAAAATAAGATCTTTAAATAACAGAGAATAAAATATAAGCAATTGACAATATAATTTTGTGATATCCCTACAAGTTATGGTAAAAGGGATTTATATGAGGGTATAATATGTAACTGTCTTACCCTACTTAATTCCTTCCCGTTATTAATATTTAATACATTGATTACCCGTTAAATGAGTAATTTGCAACGGTTAGGATAATAACAGCCAATCGCGCATAAACATGAGTTATATCGATCCCCAATGTGGATACCTAACACCCGGTGGGGGGAAAGAGAATATGTACAAGGATATCCACATGCATCAAGTTGAAAAATGTTTGAGGGCCAAAATTAAAATAAAAGATATATAATAAAAAAATTCTTTTTTGTTTTTCTTAATATATGAGACCATCAAAGTTATGAAGTTGTTTACAGGATTTGGCATTGAATTGAATCACTAACATAGCTTAATCATCAAAATGAAAATCTGAATGAAGAAAAATAATTGCCACAAAAAAGTCGGAAATGCAAAGAGCCTGATTATTAGTAAAACTTTATATAAAAGTCTTAAAGTTAACTCTTACATCCACCAACTCATAATTCTTTGTTTTCCCTTACAGGCCTGAGATTCTAAGGAGTGAAAAATCGATGTGTAGAAATAGAGGTACACAACTTCCTTTTACAATCGTTAAGGATATACAAATGATACAGGAGCAACATATTATTCAAATTATGGGAACAAAACTTCTTAATGATATCATTGGACTTGAAAAAGAATACAGTAAAAGAAGGGACCAAAGTTTTCTACAGTACGGAACTAGCGATAGTATCTATTCTGTTGGTAACCATACTGCTGTTGATGATCTGACTCTGGAGTGAAATTGTGTGATTCCAAGTTACTCCTGAGGCGCCAGCCTTCAGGTTCCTTCAGGAACTGATTTGACTCTATATAGTTTCGGATATTCACAATCACCTTGTTCAACTTTGCATCACCTCGATCTTTCAATGCAGTTAGAAAATCTTTAGCAATGATATCCAACATCTTTCTGAATTGTGTCTTATATCTTTTGTGTAGAGCAAAACCTGCCATCTAGGTAACCAAGACATTTTCTTTTAACTCCTACCTCATTTCATTAACATAAAAGGAACTGAGAAAGAGCTTCAACTTACTTCAAGAAAAGCCTGCAAGGCAGCTGCAGTATATAAATTTGCTGGGAGAACATTTAAGAATCTGGCTATCCATGCCCAACCTTCTCTGAGGCCATGCAAATTTTGGCAGCCTTCAACTTCAGTCTGCCACAAAATGCAGTTTACTACTAAATCAGTTACTATAGGAATGAAGGGAAAAAAAACAATTTTGGTCCCTGAATTAGCGTGTCATTTTATTTTTGTCCTTGTATTATTATCTGACAAGAGTGGGTTGCTCTAGTGGTGAGCACCCTCCACTTCCAACCAAGAGGTTGTGAGTTCGAGTCACCCCAAGAGCAAGGTGGGGAGTTCTTGGAGCGAGGCAGCCGAGGGTCTATCGGAAACAGCCTCTCTACCCAGGGTAGGGGTAAGGTCTGCGTACACACTACCC